AATTGCATTAAATTAGGGTTTATGTCATTCGAGTTTTGCATATTGTGTTGATTTAATTTCTGTTTAAGTTGAATTTAGTTTAACTGCATGTTATTTAATTAAAATAAAGTTATTTGCATGATTTATAGTTAATTAGGGTTTTTGTTTACATGGTTTGCATGTTAGTTCATTAGGGTTTATGTTTGGCATTAAAGTTTTCAAAATTTAGATAAAAATGTTCTATCAGCATGGAATCATGGATTAAAATTTTAGATCAATCAAATATCGCTTGAGAGGGACCCAAAATTTTCTTCACGCAAACAACGGGCTACTAGAACCTAAAACAATTTTTTGACCATGAAGTCAATTCAATCTTGGTCAGTAAACCACGTCCATAAATCATGAAATTTAATCCTAATCATCCTAAAATATTATATTTTTATATTCTAAAAAAATCAATTGAAAACAAAATAAAAAAGTTGTTCTTCATCCTTTTTTGTTACGATAAACAGATTGTAATCAAAACAGTTTTTGACATCAAGAGTAACCATACAAATTTTAGTTTGTGTAATCTAAATCAACGAGACTTTAGTACCATTGTTGGGAATTGAACATCTAAGAATAGAGTATAAAGCAATGGAATTTAAAAATTTTCAATCATATAAGCCTCAGATCACATTGATGAAATTGTACACAAACATACGTATGCAATCAATAAAAACAATTTTACTTACTTTGTTTATGATGGCATCAAGAATACTTCAAGAACCTCAAGGTAGGTTGTTGCAAATTAGTAGTTGTCCAAGTGTGTAGTGTTTAATAATAATCCATGCAAACAAGGTGAAGAACCTTCTCCAAGGGATAGGAAGAACTCAAAACCTAAATCTCTAGCTAGTGAGATTAGTCAACTACCCTCTTTGTGTTTTCTTTCAATTATTCTCAACACATAACATGTTTATTCTCTTAAAATGCTACAAACAAGTGGGAGGCTTAAGTTCTTTATATAGAGACAAAGGGTGAGGCAAAGCCTTTGGGTATTAAGGTTTTTTTATGCTTAATTCGATTCTTAATAAAATAACCTCTTAATCAAGTCTTATTCTCAATAGGATTACTACCTTGGCTGATCATACAATATCTCATTTAGAATTGGCCCTTTTTATGTTTCTCCATATTGGTTATTGACCTAATAAATTAAATCTAACTTAATTTATCCCAATTTCAATCTTTTACATTATTTCCTATTATATTGACCTATTAGGCTCCTTAACATGTTGATAGTAAATATAAGCAATATAATCCTTGGTTTGAATTAGATAAATCAAAACTATTTTTGTTTCATCATTAATTCTCCAATTAAACAATCTTATATTTATAGATGTGAGCAATACTAGTCTTGTGCCATGATCTTAATTCTAAGAAATGTTAATGTGGTTTGACAACATATCCGTACATGGTCTAGTAGTATAATTAATATTTGTTCATCACTTAATATCTCAATTCAACATTGACCATCGACTTCTTAATCTTGTTCAACCATATTAAGTATTGCTCTTAACATTAACTTTGAATAAGCTTTAGAACTATTCCAAAATCTTATTTCACTTTGACCAAAAATTTCTTGAGATAATTCAATTAAGATTAATTAAGATATTCACTTGATCACACAAGGTGATGAATTCTATTTTGATTATTTCAAGCATCTTCATATGTTTTGTGTTATACGCAACAATACCCAATTAAAGCATTCATTATTAGAACCAGGAGTAAAGTAAAATCAAATTATAAAATTTATCATATAAAATCATAAGTAATCTGAAGTTGAAGGATCACTTAAACAATCATCACATGAGAATGTTGCTATAAACACTATGTGATTACCAAATAGCATTCTTTTCTTAGGTCATGTTTAGTAAACTTGTTCTTGTAACAAGTACTCACATGTTAGCTCATGTTTATCCAAACTTTAACCTATGAAATTAGTTAAAGGATAAACTTCAACTTATGAGATCGGTCATTTGCTTCATAAGTAAGAGCATAATTATGTACTGGTTTTAACAGCTTTTATCAAAAACCTTTCTTAACAAAGCATCAACTAGGAACAATACATTGATGTAATGATCTCATAGTTACAATCTCATTGTAATTCTTTTGTAAAGCATATTTATTCCAAAGACATTATCTACAAAAAGTTAGTAAATATCAATTATGTACATACAATATCATAGATAAATAATGACTTAAATAATAATAGAAAAGTAGAAATGTATCCATAGCCAATTTGATTGGGTTAGGGCATATACCAAATAAACTTCCTCTCTTTTCATATATAATCATTGTAGGAACAATATTCACTCATCATTTTATTACTTAATAATGACTTATGTACTTACAAGCATTAAAAAATAGTAATCAGTAAGAGAGGAAAACAAGTTGTCCTTTTAATTAATTTTTATTTTTTAATGTAAAATGTAATATTTTAACTTTAGACATTCTATTTAATTTATAAGTCCTTGAGCTACAAAATGAAAAAAAAAAAAGTGGAGTTGTAAAGGTGACAAAACAAAGATTCTTTCATTAGAATGATCATCTCTAGCATTCATTTCAGTATATATGCTCTCATTCAAGAGTTTTTGGGTTTAGTAAATTATGTTGACATCTTGAAAGTCAAAATTCCTATAATTATTGTTCTCATATTGCAAAAAATTTCAGTTTATGTTGTGTAGCCTTGTAAGCATTAGTTGAAATATATATTAGTGGAATAATTTATCTTTTTTTAGGGGGAGGGGGTTTACTAGCTCTTGTTTTATAAATAATAAGGTTAGTTGGAGACTTACTAGTTAGTTTCTTATTTAAAATCCATAGAATTCTTAAAATTATTATGGCTGATTAAAGACAAATGTTTACCCATATTTGTATAACCACACAAGATAACGTGAAATAGCAAAACCAAAAGATATAATTGGTAAAAAAATTATAATAAATCATTATCTTTCCTTTCCATCCTTTAAGCAAATAATGATGGATATGATTCATTTTCTTTCTTTTTCTATTATTAATTTTAGCTATTCAAATAAGGGATACATATGTTTTTTCATTTCTTTTAAAAAAACATTAATTTTCTTTTTTTTTTCCTTTCTTGTACTAATATTATCCAAACATAGCATAAGTTATGATCTATTTATTTAATTATAATAATTACTTATTATAATTTTTTATAATTTATTTTATACCTTTAATAAAAAGGATTATAATATCTTTCATATACATACAAACAAAATAACTAAACCTATGTTTAAGTTGATGGGAATGGGAAAAAAGGAAAGTAAAGTAAAGTAAAGATGGAGAAGAGAGAATCCTTTCTTTTGTTTAGATAACCAATAAAATAAAATAAGGGAGATGGAAATATATTTAATATCCTTTGGTTTCTCTCAAAAACTTAATTTTTTAATTTTTCCCAATTAAAGGAAAAGGAAGGGAACTCTTGTGCATAAACATCTCTTCACATTTAGCGATTTTTTTTAGATGCACATTTGTCAGAATTATAAAATGTTGCAAATGTTATTGAACGAGCAGTGTTTGGTGGCCAAAAGATGAAGCCTTATTGGCGGATTTGCCAGTTTGTTGATGACATAATGTGGTCAATTCTTGTGTACTAAAAATTTATTTGGTCTTTATTAATGGCCAAAGGTTATTGTGTACCAAAAATCTATATTCGAAAGTTTTTGAAAGATTTTAGAAATGAATGTCTAGAAACCATTGAGAAATTTTAGAAATACACTTCTAAAAATTCTTAAAGGTTTTCAGAAGTGGATATCTAGAAGCTTTTGAGAGATTCTGGAAATGAATTTTTGATACATTAAAAAAGTTTTTGGACACCATTTTTGGAAACTTTCAATAATTTTTGAAAATTTATTTTCGGAATGCTTGAATCGTAGCCTCAAATCGTACCTCTAAATTTAAAATCCTAAATATTTTAAAACTAAACATAAAATTAAACAAAAAAAAAAAACAAATGATTTACTTATGATTCTAAACTATCTAACATCAAATGGATGATTGGAATTTGATTTGAGGCTTAATCTCTAAAGGGTTTAAGGTTTTTGGTCAAGAAAAAGAAAAGGAATGTGGAGTGTTTGAGTTTTTTAGTAAATTAATATTTTGATTTCGAGTGTGAAGAGAAGAAAGAATGGATGATAATGGTAATGAGATGCTAAGAGAGGAAGTGGGGGTGTAAATAATCCGTTTGGATAGTTAATGTCACTTAGTTTCTCTCAAAAACTTAATTTTTTAATTTTTCCAATTAGAGAAAAAAAGATAAAAATAAATTTAGACATTGAAATGTCCATAAAAACCTTAATTATTTCAGCAAATTCTATGACAATCCCGCATAAATGCTTTCTTTAATTCTTTCAATTATGCTATATCTTCAACTCGTTATCTACCATATAAAAAAAATCACAAACAATTTTCTCCTTAAACAATTATCTCTTTTTGATAAGTTTCCTTTTTCTCTAACTAAATTAGATCTATTTAAAGACATGGTGAAGGCATGTAAAGAAGACGACATGCACAAAACTTAAAATAACTTAAAACCACAACGAACATATTAGCACGTAGGTTGGAACAAAGCAATGCTACCGTCATACCAGATATGCAAGCAAGCAATTAATCAGGAAAGGTAAATCATATAAAAAATGGGGAATGTGAGAGTTCAGTGTACTTGACATAATAATTGGGTTATTAGACATTAGTCATCTTATTAACAGCTTAACCATCTCAAGTCTCAAAATCAAGATTTATCTATATCTGCATTAAGTACACGAGAGGTTGAATTAACCAAATCAAAGGATATAATTAATAAAAAAAATATTATAATAACTTTTTTCCTTTTCCTTTTATTTTTTAACCAAGTAACGATCGTTACAATTTGTTTGATTTCCTTTCATTTATTAATTTAATATTTAAATAAAAAATACATGTATTTTTTTTTATTTCTTTTAAAAATCGTACTTTTTTTACTTTTACTAATATTTATGCAAACATGAATAAATTAATATTCTACCCCTTTCTCAAGGGTAGAGATAGAAATAGAATTAGGTATATCCAGAATTAAAATTAATTAGAGAGAGATGGTTGATTACTTGTTTGGAAGGGTTTAGGTATGGTGATGTTAAAAAAGAGGAGGGCCCTGGAACCCGCGTTTTTCTCACGGAGTTGATTCTCTGTTTTCAACAAAACCCATAATTGCTTTTCTTATCATCAATCAAAGAAGAGGGGAGGAGGAGTAAGATCAGATCTGCAACTTTGATATCGATTATCATTGATATTATAGTACACATATACCTTATAACCAAAAATACTAGGAGAGGAGAGGATAATTTCCAGGTATTTCTTCCTTATTTTGCAGTCCCTACTTGTTGGATCTAAAATGAAATGATCCTCCGACTTCTTTAACTTAGTACTATGATTTAGCAATTCATTTACGTGTTTTAAATAATTTGATCTGTGTTTGAAGAGGCAACCGTGGGTGATGGCGGAGGACAAAGGCATTCCTGACGGTGAAAGCAAAGAATCCAGTCCCCCGCTGCAGGTGGTGAAGAAGAAAAGCAAGGGAGTCCTCTCCCGCATTTGGAATGCAATATTTAGGATTCACGGGGACGATTTCGAGAAGAGGCTTCAACACATTTCCAAGGAAGAGGCCGCTGTTCTCGCGCGAATGAAAAGAAGATCCCAGACTTGGAGGAGAATGATTAGGCATCTCATTATTTTTTCTGTCATTTTGGAGGTACCCACCCTCCACCCTCATTACTCTATCTCTATGCCAATCTGCAACTCATAGCTTTACGTTTTTCACACACTATTAGTAGTATTAGTACTTGTCTTGAAAAACATTGTTCTATTTTGAAGGGTTCACGGTAGATGTCATTGGTGATTTTCCTCATACACTGCATCCAACCATTTATAATATCTTGCACACCAACTCTGATTTTTTTTCTTCATCCATATTTGGTGTATGCATCTTCCGTTTACCTCTGAATCCAACCATCGTTCGTTCTATCAACTTCTTCCAGAAAAGAAGTGCTGCCCAAATGGCTATTTTTTTCTTTTAAGAAAAGAGAGAGAGAGAGAGAGAGAGAGAAGGAAAATGTGAAAAACTACTTCCAATAACTTTCTATCTTTTCAAAGAAAACACTTCGGCACGTCCTTCCATGAGGATTTTCTTGTCAATTTACAGGTTATTGCAGTTGCTTATGCCATCATGACAACAAGATCCGTGGAGTTGGATTGGAAGATGAGGGCATTTAGGGTTTTGCCAATGTTCCTTTTGCCTGTTTTTTCTTCTATCGCTTATTCTACATTTGTAAGCATCACAAATATGTGTAAGTAACTCATTCAATATCTTACACAATTCTCATGCTGTTGTTAAAGGTCTAAACTGGTTTTGTCTATATTTTTTGTTTTTTAATGTTATTAAATGGTAGTAGCTGTTGGATATTTACAACTGGGGTGAATCCTGATAATAGAATTTGTGATAATGCGCTAACTATGTGCATAAATTTGAAAATACGAGGCTCCCCACCTTCCGCCCAGCACCAAAAACATACAAGGGCATGGAAACTTGGTGATTTGTTGCATATCATTGCTGATATGATATTTTGAATTAAGGTTTTGTTGGTTATATTATAACATTGCCAAGAATACTGTGCAGGCTTTTTTGCAAAAAAATAGTACCTAGCCCAGAGAAGCTTTAACCTTGTAGATTGCTTGAAATATCCTTATGACTTCTCTTACTGGAAAGTTAGCTATTTATTTTGCTGTTTTCATGCTAGACACATGCATGCTGGAAATTTCTTTAATGCTTGTGTGTACAAATTTTTATCTATTATTATATTTGTGTACAAAGTTTGTTATCATGCTAATTGATGTATGAGGCTTGCCTTTTTGGAGGTTTTGACTTCTTTGAATAGTGAGGTATATCTATTAGAAGTCAAAAATTCTAAGATTGTTTGTATGAAGTGTGTTCCTAAACTAGACATGTTGATTCAACTATAGATATCATGTGAGGAGCATAAAATTGCAAAGTATAGGATTGATACAGTTGGCAGTTTGAAACCAGAAGACATTATGTTCATTGGTTGAAATAAATTTTTTACTTATTTTGAAAAATTAATTGGATGGGTGTTTTCTATCCCTTTTATAGCTTGGTGATTTCCCTTTTTCTATCATCCACTCCTGTACTTATTTTCTATCCATCCCTTTCCAAGAAGACCAATTTCGCTGCTTCCCCTTTAGCCTTTTGTTTGTTAGTTACTATTATTAAAAAGAGAAAAGGCCAAAAAAAAAAAAAAGAAATTATATGAAACAAGAACATTATATACAATGTTGAGCGATTAGTTTAGAGACTTTTAATATATAAATTATTCTACCTTTTTGGACTGACAACTTGAATCAGTATATTCCTACTGTAGCATAACAGCAATAATACAAAATGCTCAGAAAGAAGCCTAAATGTAATCCTTAAGAGACCTTATTTTCTATTAATATAAATTTTATCATGCTTAGCTTGGTTTTTGTACACACTTCAAGGTAAAAAACAGAGCTGAATTGTTTCTTATATAATTTCTTATTACTGCTGTTTCAGTCAATTATCTTTGCTCTATTTCCCCTGTTTGTACACCAAAGAATTTTTTTTAGTAAATTATCTTCCTAAGATTTGACCAAGAATCCTCGTAGTGTACTTCCATGTAATCTGTGTCAGGAATTTCTAGTCTTGATTTATTGTTTCGGAATGCGATCCTTCATTCTGTCTATCTTTTGTTGATCAAGGTATCGTTCATGCTCTCTGTAGGTAGTTGGACAGTTCATAAATCTGTTGCTGAGCTTGTCATGTTAGGCAAAGCTCTCTTATTCAAATTCAAACAGCATAAGTGGCAGTCCATAGTTATTCTTATTATAATTCAAAATACTCTTTCTAATTTTTTATATATTTCTTTGTGTCATGATTGTATTTTTGTAATTTTTGTACCATTGAAGTTAAGCTGCACGGCTTTTAAGGATAAGTGATAACCATACTAAACTGTTTTATGGTGATATATTATGATATTTGATATGACAAGGTTCAATCATTTCTTGTTTTTTAATTATGGGCAATCTTGTTAATTTGCAATTTTATCTTATAGGTGATCGCAGGGACCAGAAAACTCTAGAAAGACTTCGTGCTGAAAGACAAGCAAAAATTGATGAACTTAAGGAGAAGACAAATTATTACACTACACAGCAGCTTATTCAGGTAATTACAGAAAGCCAGCTATTGGTTTCATCAAATTTCCTTCAAGTCCTGTGCCTGAATTCTGCTTGAACTTTCTTCTGTTATTAATGCTATGATAGGAAAAGCATGAGGTAAACCTCCCTGATACATATTGTTGCGAAAAGTATTTACCTCTTTTTTTTAAAACTTTTTTTTCCTAGTAGTATAAGCCACCTTTGGATCGTTAGAAGAAGAGTTATTTAACTAGGGAAAAGGTAATAGTTAGAGCCTCAATTTATTTTGAATTAGGAAAAGAAACCATTAATAGCATTGCTTGCAGAATCACTTTAGGATAATTTGTTGCGTATATGCAATGCACAGAACATTGCAGGAAGTTATAAATGCTTTGACTAATCATATCGAAGAAGTTGCCGCTTAAGTAAATTATAGGCAAAAGCCTGTTTTAAAGAATCTTATTTTATGAAACAGAATGTAAAGCAATAAATTAAGATTTCTCCTTTTCTTATTTTCTAAAATTTGAAATGAAGACAATGGACAAAATTTTGGTTTCTAGTTTTTGTTTGTTCTTAGAGTTTGTTTTGCTTATGAGCTAGATCCTAGGGATATTTTTTTTGAAAGTATGTCGTTTGCAAATCAAGCTTATTTAAAGCACCTTGATGCAGAGATATGATCCCGATCCAGCAGCAAAGGCTGCCGCTGCAACTGTCCTGGCTTCTAAGTTGGGTGCAGATTCAGGTTTGAAAGTCTATGTTGGAGATGAATCTAAGCTTAATGTGCCAGTGGGGAAGAGCAATGACATTGAGGTAGTGCCATCAAGTGGACTTCGGAAAAGAAAGCAATTGCATACTAGATCCAGTAGTACAGGAAGCACTCCATTGCTTCATTCTGATGATGAAACAACCCATTCTGCAGGGAATGAGGGTCCTCCAGATTCTGAGCATGAGCAACTAGTTGTTGATCACTATTATCCACAGGGACCTTCCACACATGATGGGGGATGGCTTGCTCGAATTGCTGCCTTGCTTGTGGGTGAAGATCCAACACAGTCTTATGCACTCATATGTGGCAACTGCCATATGCACAATGGTTAGTGGCATCTACTTTTGCAATAATAGCATCAACTCAAGAATATCTTTTGAACCCTGATTAGACAAAATTGCACACATGTACACTGCAGACTTATAGTGTTCTTGCAGAAGAATATTGAACTTCAAACTGTTTTTCCTTGTGGGTGTTCTCCAGGACTTGCCAGGAAGGAGGATTTCCCATATATAACTTATTACTGCCCACACTGCCATGCCCTGAATAGGCCAAAACAATTGGAAGATTATGTTTCCAGTTCTAGCCCGTCTAGTATGAGCCCCTTGAAATCAGGAGGAACTGGTGATGCAATTAAACATTCAAGAGGTAGCATGGGTGAGGGTGTAAGCATGAGCAACAGCCCGGCGAGAGCTGGTTCTAAGATTGAGGAAGTGACTGAAAACGTAGTGTCAAGGGATCTAGTTGGATAAGATGCATTTCCACATGAAGCAATGAAATTTGAGTGAGATGTTCTATTTTGTTAATAGGTGGTTCTGGTTGCCCTTTTATCTCATCCATAGCCTGTAGGTATAGGATCTCTGGCTTTACCAGTGGTTTTGGTTCTTGGTTGGATGTGTGACTTTAAAACATTGAGAAATCTTACTGGGAACTTGTGATTATACACACATTGATATAGATGAAGTGCTAATGTAGCATTTTTCCTTGTCATCTTTTTCGTTTCTTTTATCTTTTTTTAGGCTTTAAAGTGAAAATACTTGTGGAAGTTCCAATTAATCAGAAATTTCATGTTGCTTGTAAAGCGTTGGTAACAATTTATATTTTAATAATCAAATTAAAGTTGGTCACGCCAATGAAGGCAGGGTTCAGCAAATACTGGCGCGCACTCTGATTTGTAAAGATAATAAACGCACACATAAACCGAGTTCTTTATCAATAAAAACCTGTTTTTCTATCTAATGTTCTTTTAAACATATTTAATAATATATAGAGGATATTGCCATGTCATTTTTTTTATTTGAGAATTAAAAAAATTTAATCCTATCATAGCTTCTGTCTCTTTCTCGCTGTCTCATTTCTCAACCTATTTTTTAGTTTAAAAAAAATTGCAGGCAAACCAAAGTTTTCTTTTTCTTTTAGACTAGGAAAGGGAAAACCAAACACCCTTTACATCTTTATTTGATTCAAAATGGATAATCCTCTTCATATAATTTTCAATTGCTTTCATCTATGCACGGAAATATTGTCTTGTATAGTAGCAATTAATTGAAATGTAACCCTTATTAAAAGTTTTTTTTTAATATGAGTTAAGGTAAAATCTTTATTTTCAAATAGGTGTATACTTTGAATCATTTTTTCTTAAAAAAAAAAAAACTCAAACCATGTCATTTTCAGCGAAGACAAACTTGTGAGATTTACTTCTTTTCATCTTTTTTTTCGTCTTTTCCTTCTTTCATTTTCTTTTCCTTACAACGCCTAATCTTCGAACAATTTATGTTTAATCTTGGTGGGATTCATGAAGGACATGAAGTTCTTTTTGCGTTTTTCTTTCTTTCTAAATTTTCCTTTGTTATCACTTTTCAATATTTTTTGGCTTAGGTAATAGAACGAAGCTTAGATTAAAAATGAAGGGAAAGGTTGAATAACTTTTATGGATTCCATTCATTGACCATTTTAAGCAGACTTTGTTGTATATATTATCAAAGATATTTTTTTAAGGTTTATTAAATTAAAAACATTATTCTATTATCATTTTTTATGTATATTTATTGAAAAATAATGTTTGAAAGTATAGAAAAATATTGGAATCAAGTCGGGAGGGAATAGCTGATTGCCCTACCCACTGCCCTTGAGTCGTTGATATTCTGACAAAAAATAAGCGTGCACGATTGACTACCTTTCAAAAGCAGGCAATGCCCTACCTAGAAGTGTGGGCGATCGATTTCCAAATAGATGGTATCTGATTGCTTGCATTCAACTTGAACATAGAAGTCAACTGCTCCAGGGAGCAATCGATTACTCATTAATTTTGCTTTAAGGAAATTGACTGCTTAAAGGATTAGAGAAAATCTTATGTTTTGATTAGAAAAGCGGTCAATTGCTTTTACCCAGAAAACATTTAGCAATCAACTGCTATGAGTAGCAATTGACTGTCAAAATTAATCTAGGTTATCGGTTTAGAAAAATATTTAAAGGAAGTCGACTACCGTCATTGAACAGTCGACTGCTCGTGTTACAGATTCAAAAAAAAATTTGTTGGATTTGCTATTTCACTTGGAAGGAGATATTACTTTATTTATGGATGACCATAGAGGTGACTTTTAGAGTCTGTAAATATTTCTTTAAATATTGTTTTATATATTCTTACTATTAATTTTACTAATTAATATCACAAACTCCCTTATTGTGCCACGTGGCAAAAGTTTCTTTTTTCTTTTTTGTTTTTTTAAATGTTTTATTTTTTTCTAGATATTTTATTTTTTCAATTTCGTTTTAAAATTTTATAAATATATTTTCAAAGATTTCAAGTTTTTAGGTGGTGTCCGCCTTATCAAGTATTTTTTTCTTTTTCTATTTTTTTTACAATTTGTTTCTTTTAAATTTATCAATTAGATAAATTTTATTCTTATATGAAATTTAACTTAGGTGTTATGTGGCACTCCTCAATTTTTTTGGCTTTTAAAAAATTTTTAAAATTTTGTAGGCTTTTTTGTTTTTTAATATTTTTATATTTAATAATTTTTTCCATTTAAAATTTTTAAGTGAGACCCACTTTATACCAATTTTTCTTTTTTTTTGTCTATTTCTTTTTTTTTTTTACAATTTGTTTATAAATATCTTTTAAGATTTTAATTTTTTTTTGTTTGGGACCCACTTGATACAAGGTATGCCACGAGTTTGCTTTTTTTTTTTTCTTTTTCTATTATATTTCCTTTTTATATGTTTAATAAATATTTTAAAGATTTAGTTTTCTTTTTTGTAATCCATTTTATACTAAAGTTATGTCACATATCAAGTCATTTGTTTTTCTTTTTTGTTATTTATTTATTTTTTTAATATTTGATGAATTTTTTTGTATTATAAACCTTTTTGTGATGCCCATTTGATATTATTGATTAAAAAGTATTTTTTTCTTTTTTTTGTTATCTTTATTTTATTAACTATTTATTTTATATATGTATTATATTAATTAAGTTATTATTTTATAGTTTTATTTAAGATATTAATATTTTAAACTCAATTTGGATGTTCATACGGTAGCATGATGATTGTGCTTTTTTCTTTTTTTTTCTTTAATTATTTTTTTAATTAATTAAATTATTATTTAATATCTTAATTTAATATATTAATATTTTAAGTTCAACTGAGATATCATGTTGTGCCCTAATGAGCTTCATTTTTATTATTTTCTTATTTTATTTTATTATTTTTTTTTATGATTTTTTAAGTTAAATTGATTTTTTGAAAAAAAAAAGCAGGCCAATGGAAATGTCCATATGGCACCCCCATTAGCTTTTTATGTTTCACATTTTTAATTTTCAATTAGATAAATTTTAAAATAAAAATGTGTTAATTAGTAAAGATGCCAAAACAATTTTTATACAATAGGTTTTGGTCCATCTTGATTCAATATGGGGTATATTTTTTTTTAAACAAAATCAAGTTAGGATGAGATTGGGTTAGAAATGTTTAAAGGTACTCCATCCCAACCCATTTTTTCGTATATATTAAAGTATATATATATATTTTATTTTTAATTTTATTATATATATATATTATATTAATAAAGTTATTATTTGATATCTTAATTTTAGAAATTAATATTAAACTTAATGGGAGTATTCATGTAGCACCCTCTATAAACTTTTGTTATTTCCTGTTTGTCTTTGTTTTTTTGTTTATATCCTTTTCAGTTTTTAAAAATTTTTTGTTTTTATTTTTTTAATTAGATAAATTTTGTGAGGTTTTTTTTTTTTTTTAATATTTGATGAATATTTTTTATATTATAAATTTTTTGTGACACCCATTTGATATTATTGATTAGAACATATTATTTTCTTTTTTTTTGTTTTCTATATTTTATTAACTATTTATTTTTATATATGTATTATATTAATTAAGTTATTATTTGATAGCTTAATTTAATATATTAATATTTTAAACTCGATTTGGATGTTCATATGGTAGCCCTATGATTGCTCTTTTTCTTTTTTATTTTCCTTTGTTTATTTTATCTTTTTTTCCTTAATTTTTTAATTTTTAATTAATTAAGTTATTATTTAATACCTTAATTTAATATATTAATATTTTAAGTTCAATTGAAATGTCATGTTATGCCTTAATGAGCTTCATTTTCCTTTTTTATTTTTTCCTTTTTTTTTTTTTGTTTGTTTTAATTATTTTTTAAATTAAATTAATTTTTTGGAAAAAAGGAAGCCAATGGAAATATCCATGTGGCACCCTCAATTAACTTTTTATATTTCACATTTTATATTTTTTGATTAGATAAAATTTTAAAACAAAGGGTGTTAATTGGTAGAGATGTCAAAACAATTTATATTCAACGAGTTTTGGCTCGTCCCGATGTGATATTGGGGAAGAGATTTAGTTATTTTTAGAGAAATGAGTTAGGGTAGAATGTTTTAAGGTACTCTATCTTAACCCATTTTTTCGTATATATTTTATTTTTAATTTTATTATATACATTATATTAATAAAGTTATTATTTGATACCTTAATTTTAAAAATTAATATTTTAAGCTCAATTGGAGTGTTCATGTAGCATCCTTTATAAACTTTTTCTTTATTTTTTATTTGTCCTTTTTTCGTTTTTATCTTTGTCCATTTTTTATTTTTTTGTTTTTCATTTTTTAATTAGATAAATTTTGTGAGAAAAATGAGGCTAATTGAAATATCCACATGTTACCCCCATTGTGCTTTTTTTGATCTTTCATTTTTTTAAAATTTTTTTAATTAGGTAAATTTTGTAATAAAAAATTGATAAAATATAGCAAAAAATAAAATAAAATAAAACTACAATATCACACAAATATTATGCTAGTAATATTAATACTTTTACATCTTTTCAAGATCAAACCAAGACTTTTTCCCCTTGTGCTATTTTTTCTGGTTCATGGTTTAAGGAGATGAAATAAGAGTTGAATTGTAATCCATTCTTTTTCATTGAGCATTGTATCATGGCGACAACATTTCTAGCAACCATTTGCACAAAGCTTCCTAGAAGTTCCTTGTCCAAAGTTCTTTTTTTCAAATTTATTTTCTTCAAAAAAGTTGCATATTTGTTATTGGTGCACACAACAATTTAAGGAGTTCACAAATTTTGAATAAATTTCAAACGCTATAGACAATAATTTAAGGACAATATTTTTCTCTGTGACAACTTTTGCATAATTATGAAAGTGGAAAATATTCTATGAAAGGCATAAAGGATATTTTTTGATAATGGACCAAAATCAAAAAGTTGTTCCTTGATGATGTGAAAACTTATGCTTTGGAAGTGGTTTAGTTCTTGAAACAATTTTTATTTCAAGTTATTACTTTTGCAAATTTTGAAATTCAACAAGGGTAAGTGTGATTCTATGAATTAAGAAGCAAAGTAGTTAGTGTCATAATTGAGAAATCTTTTTTGATACATCAAGGTATTTATTTATTAAATTACTATATGTGATTGTAGTAATGATATATTTTTATTTATTGATGATTAAATGTTTAATTCCATAGTTTGTGTTTTTAATATTTGTTTTTAATCATGGATTAAAGTTTTTAAAGAATAGATAAATTTTTTGAATTTTTATTTATTGTTTTTCATTTTACCTTAAAATCACATTTGTTCAAAAAGTATGTCCAAGTAAAATGATAAAGGAAAGGTTGAAAACATCCTACAAAAAATTTG